TTGGCTGAAATGAGTATGCGCACTTGATTTACCCAGAACTCTGTGCGAATCCCCCTTGATTCTGGCTGCTGGCCATTTTCGATCATGAAATTGTCGGATATCACCAGAAAACTCGCGATTTGTGCAGTTTTGAATAAAACCAAGTTAGCGATTATGAACAATGGTTATTAACGTAACACCTGATCCCCTCTAAAAAAATTGTTTCACATTTTAAGGTAAGAAATCGACATTTGAAACCGACAGGGTGTCGATTTACTCGGTGCCGTGTTTCACAACTTGTTTATTTATATACGTATAGCGGATGATTTTTATTGAAAATTAGTATTTATTGATTTTCAGCCCCCAAGTGACTGTGCCCAAGATACCGTAACCCATGTACCGCTCCGAAGCTTTCACACTGTGGCCGAATGACGTCATACATACATAACAACAACACTGTCACGTCGTTGACAACATTCGAGCAATCTAGTTATTATATTATCATGATTATTTGTTTTTTGACATGAGTCGCGTGAAAACGTCTAGCACCGTTTTCTGCTACATCTGGGCATAAATGGTATGACTGACTTGATATATATTTACCTTGTAAATCCAGGCGGTTTGTGACGATCCAGATTTTCTTCGTCCGAGTGCTTATATCGACAGCCATCTTTAATGGAACATACCACTGTCGCGCAGGGGTGCAGGGTGCCGGTAAAAAGGGTTAGTGTAGTATGTACTAGTATATTGGTGAGGGCGCTATTCTAATCCACCCTATGACTCAACCGTTACAAAATCGTTTTCCACGTAGATTCATAAAAGTTCAAATAAGAATAAAAAAAAATATTTTTGACAACGAAAACGTTTTTTTTTTTTTTTTTTTTTTTTTGCAAATTAAGCATCCTACTCGGCGGTAGCGGTGACAGCAAATGTAAATCTGTGTCGTTAAGGAAGAATATGATATAAATTTAGCTATATTTTATTATACTATATAATAAGAATAAATTGATTTTTAAAAGAGTTTGAGGTCAACAGTATTTTTTGAAAAAATGATGGGCGTGTATCACAATTTAAGACTGGTGATATAGGGTGACAAAAAATATATATCGTAACCGTGATATGGTACTTTACTCTGAATAGTTTAAAATATATATACTGCTTTAACAATGTGAAAAATTAAATTAAACAGCAGTTTGAAATTAACAGGTTATACTTTAAAACAATACAGAATCACTCATTAGTCATAAACGAATAGCAGAATACTATTTAGTGAAACGCGAATTAATTTAAACGAAAGAAAACGCACATGTCAGCGGCTGGTGGCGAAGTAATGTCAACTACCCGATTGTATGTCATTCAGTGGTCACTGTGCGAAATATCACGTCTTTGTATCATTGTGTTTCCCGAGTTATTTAGAGGTGGACCGAGGTCATATCGCGTGTCGTCCGTACAGCTACCACTCGTCCGGATTATGAGGCCAGTTACCGTCATCGCTGTTTCGGGCTCGCTATTGAAATACTCGAGTCATGGCATATCTACAAGACCAGTGCTATCTAGGTCATACACTACAGCTGCTGCCGCAACGAGCTTCGTTTATAAAAAACGACTCGATACTACGCCGTTGATGTCATCCCGCTTGGCCGGTCGGCAGTGGTTACCAGGTGGTCGCTCCTCGCAAAATAAATACCCGCAGTATATTGCCAGCCCCCGGGACAATTTTCCAGCAGTATATACACTGCCAAGTGCGATCAAATCAGAGAGTCTCGACGAGGATACCATGAGAAAACTTTCCGAGACAGCACGGGATTTGATCGAACGCAAACTTCATATTCACGGAGCTATCCTCTTCACTGACATGTCTTTAATCAACGCCGACGATTTCTCTCGGTTCATGAATGGTCTTGGCTACTCATTGGCGGGATACGAGGGGGGTACAGCAGTCCGCCATAATGTTGCAAGTAGCGTATTGACAGCCAGTAATGACCCCCCTTCTTACACGATTGAACCCCACAACGAGATGTCGTACACGGATAATTACCCGTTAAAGGTAAGTACAACGTAGCTGCAATAGATAACCGTCAACGCCCGAGGTGATTCTAACTAGGACACGCTGAAAAAGCGGCTGTTACCTATCCTATATCACATGCCACATCCAATGGCGCCCGTCAGTATCAATTGTAAACAAGTCTTGACAATTGTGTTTTGATATCAATCTGCTGTAGCATATCGATCGGTTTCCATTGTTTCGAATAATCAATATCATTTACGTGTTGTCTGGCGTCCAATAATTGCTACGTACATGTGTTATGTAACTGATCAGAATATGAAGCATATAGCCACAGTCAACTTATTTAAATTTCATTCACTGTATCAGTCACCTGCTTAGCTCAGTCAGTTCAATTACCACTCTAAGACTGATCTGAAAAAAAAAAACAGGATTCGACTCGAATCTCTTTTAAATTTGAGGAGGAAGTTGCATTCTAACTAACATCATGGAATCACCCATTGAACATCATTGCCCGAACACCCATCATATAGAAAATGAGTGTTTCCGGTTTCAGAAAGGGGGGGGGGGTCTGCCAGAATCGTCTTGTTGTTTAGCCACAACCACGTTAATGTTAGTTTGGTGAAATAATCACCGTTCAGGACAATAGTGTGACGTCACAAGCGTGGTTTACATAACATCTACCACTGGGGTCACTGACATCAAATGGCGTGATGAGGACGTGCTCCGCTTTAGGGTCGGTATTTATATTTCATTCTATGATTAATTGAGTGCATATTGGTCAATGAGTAACCCTGTACATTTATTGGTCTACCTTAGTTTTACCACTTTCTCTCTATAATGTTTTCCGGGTGAGTTTCCATAAAAACTGGTGTTTATAGTGGAGTTCATGGTGTTTTAAAGGGGAAGTCGAGGCAAACAACAAATGCAACATAATGCAAGAGCTCTACAAAGGTAAAAGAATGCAATTTACAGTTTTTGTTATATCATTCTCTAGATATTCAACTTTTATTCAGTATTATCTAGTCCACCATCTTGTTTCCCCAACAAAGGATTGTGGGTAAAGTGTGTAAAGATATTACCAAAAACATAAAATAAATAAAAATCGTTATTTTGGTTGTTAAAAATGGAATGACACTTTTTGTGGTCCCTTTTTGTGGTCAATAGGTTATGTATCACCTGTATAACCTACTTGCATCGACAAATTGTATACAATATCCAAAAAAAATAGCATTTGGTAGAAAAACACAAAAATAAATATTTTCAGTTCTGATGCCATGACAACCATTTTATATGCATTTTTGGCACTGGTACATTGTATGCTACCATACATAATACATTTTTAGCTAATTTGAAGTTCAACTTTTGAAGTTATAGATGAAATCGTTTTCTCAATTTTTCACAACAGTGGACTCTGTTGATATGTCATATTTAACCCATAATCCTTTGCTGAAAAATCAAGATGATGGACTACATAAACTGATGAAAAGTTGAATATCTAGATAATGGAAAGTGATATAAAAAACTGTAAATTGCAGTTTCTTACAATTGCCAAGCTCTTTCATCTGGGAGTATTATGTTGTTAGCCGTGACTTTTCCTTTAAAGCCTACCTTGGTGTTCATGCGTGGTATTTCCCTGTAAAAGTGTATTATATATATAGTATTATTTAGTCTATTATGGGGTATACTGATTGAACTAGATACTAAATCATAACTTGGTTATTGGGGAACGTGTATATTGTTTTAGGTGAACTGGTCTATATAATGTGGTTTGAAGAAGCCAAGTGACCCCCATGACCCATCACTAATTATGATAATTAAGGATGCAGGAGAGGTTTCCAGGAAGTAAAAATCACATTAATTGTTTTCATAGAATTGTTTTAAACAATATCAAACTATATATTTTATGAAAGCTCATAATTCACACTAATTAAAAATCCATGTTACGTCGGATACAACCTTCGTATGGTCACGTGACTGCTAAGTAAATAAATCCTTTATTGAAGATTCAAACGAGTACTGTGAAGAAAGTGAAACAGATACCACAATTCTTCCACATTAAAAAAATGTAGAATAAAACATGAGAAACATAAAAGTCACAGATAATTGGATAACTTGTTTTTGTTTTGAATCATATTTTTGCTTTGTTTTTACATTCAGATAGTGAAATTTTTAGAATGCGTGAATTTAACACACATCGCTATGACAGTGATTGTTATGTTCATATATATTACATCTAAAATTTATGAAAAAGTGGAAAGATCTGATAAGTACCTATAAGTAGTAATGATTGAACATTTCAATGTCAGAATAAAAACAAACATACACAATTCTGAATATCAATATAGGAATAGTGGAATTTCTGCATTATTTTTTTTAAATGGTCATGGAATTTTCTGTGACAAATGTTATGCCGTCCAGTAAATCGTAGATGATAAGTAAGCATCTAAAGATGTTCTAAAACTATTTCATACTCGACTGTGTGATTTATTAATTATTTAAGAACATGGGAATATGCAAATTTAGTCATCACAACAACGTTAATTTTCACCACTGTTTTACTAAGTGAGCATATTTTAATTATAATAGAGCTCTACAATTTTCATAGAATTTTTAAATATACTTATAGATTCTAACAAATATAAAACGTTCATTTTGATAACCATGTGCAGAAAAACATAGCAACTAAATAAATAAATAAAT